AATTCTGTTTAAATCTCAATCCTCAAAAGGCTATATGAAAGAATTTGGTGCAACAACAAAAAGAAAAATAATCTTTTCCATGTCAGAATCATAAAAGACAGTGGCACAAGTCTTTGCCCTCCAGGCTTACTATTTGTCAGATGTGTCCCTTTGGACCTAAATGAGCCACACTCCTGCAATTAACATGAGACTTCAATTGGAAACATCTGCAAAATCCACAGCAACACATCTGGCATTGCAAAGACACAACCCTCCCCCTAGCCCCCATCCCCACAGCCTGGAATCCCCCAGCGTACACCAGCGCCTGTGGAGGTGGTGGGGGTCCACGGTTCACACTGAGCCAGCTGCCAGCCTCTGTCCCTGAGGGGGAATCTGCCTCACAGCCAGTTGAAAAACAGAGAAACACAATCACTCTACAACAGTAAAGACAGGCGGCTGTCGTCACTACAGCAACCAGAATGAATGTGGAGCTCAGGGTTACATCTCCCCCAGGGGCTGTCCCCTATGTGACCAGAATGAAGGCTGACCTTCGGCAGGTTTTTGGTTCAGTCAGACTCTCCTCAAAGTAAAGGAGCAATAATGCTTCATAGAAGTGCATTGGGTATGATTTTTTTAATGATTATTTTAACCTATATTTTCTTGCAGCAGAACATTCTCATTCTCAAGAAACTCCCAATATTTTTAGTTTGAGAATATTTAGACAGAAAAAAGACTCAACTAAGAAATTCAAGGGGCCGTAAGTATTTTGTTAAACCCACTTTTTGAGCTTTACATCATGTTATAACTTATTCTCTCGTCAAAATCAGACCTGGAGTATTGCTTTGATTCTTCCATTCATGTTTGAGAAATCCTTTCTTCTCCAATGGCAACCATTCAGCTGTGAAAAACCCCTGGGTGGACATAGCCCCGCCTTCAGGGACAAAGCTCCTCCTCTGAGCTGCAGTTTCCAAGCTTCCGACTCACAGAGCAGCCCTCCTCCACTCAGCTCCTTCAGACTAGCAAGTAGCAATTAGCAAACACCTGGTGGAACTGCTCATCTCATTATAAGAGCTACTTCTCAGTGAAATGCTGCTAAAAACTTTGTTAAAGGGTTCATAGAGGAGCCATGCTGTGATAACATCCTGAAGATGGAGTTTCAGAAAGGCAGGAATTTTTAAAGAGACAGAGGCCCAATTTCAAGGCATTGCACTACAAAGTCAAATTTCTTTTAAGTCATGTCTCATATTAACAGCATTTTTAGAACAACTCAGCGTAACATTGTGCTGTAAAATGGAGTTATGTGGTTGGAAGACACATAATCCTTCCCTGTTAAAGATCCAATTTGTCTAAACATTTCAGTGTGACGTTATGCTACTCAAATAAAGGATGGATTTGTATTTTATGAGCCTAGGTAATAATGTGGTTACCACCCACCTCCTTTTTTTGGTCAGTTATTTTCTTTTTTCTATTAATGTTCAGGTATTTAAAGTTTGTCTTTTGATATAATTTTACTTGAAAATCTACATTAAAAAAAAGGAAGCTACATTCACAACCAAAGCAGAAGCAACGCTGTAACGTTTGAAAAATACTTTCATGTGGAGCATATAGCTGCTTTATAATCAGATGTTTTCCTGGTTTTGATTATAAATGGAGACAAATGCATTCACAAAACGAACAATATGTTGATGCTGATTCGGTGTTTTGTTCGTCTCCTCAGGACAAAGAGCCTCGCGGAATTATTCCCCTTGAAAACCTGAGCATTAGAGAGGTGGACGAGCCCAGGAAACCAGTACGGAACAACTCTAGTAGTCCAAGCACCTCTTTTTGCCTAAACAAGATTTACTGAAATATCTCTTCTCAGTTTGTTTCTGTGAAACGCTGACCGTGCCTTTCTGATGTCTTCCTAGAACTGCTTTGAGCTCTACAATCCCAGCCACAAAGGTCAGGTCATCAAGGCCTGCAAGACAGAGGCAGACGGGCGAGTGGTGGAGGGCAACCACGTGGTGTACAGGATATCGGCCCCAACCCCGGAGGAGAAGGAGGAGTGGATCAAGTCCATCAAGTAAGACCCGGCTTGTTGGCGCGGATCCATTTCCACTCAGGGGGCACTTAGCCAGCGCCCACATGAGACGTTCACATGTCTGACCTTCACACTGGGAGAAACAAACACTCACACTGATAGGGACCGTAATCAGGAACGCACACACACACACACACACACACACACACACACACACACACACACACACACACGCAGGCTGGTGGCTAAATGTAAATCCACCTCTCACACTTCCATGCAGATAACACTTAGAGGTAATCCTGCTCTTCTAGAGAAGGTCACTTCCCTTTGAGTTCAAAAGCAAAGAGAACAATCCAAACAGAGCCTCAGAAAGAAGCACCTGAATGCATCCTTGGAGGTGTTTACACTTCACAGCACCTCGCAACTAAACCGAAGCCTCTTTGTGTTGTATTACAAACACAAACTTACAGTGTGTTTTATTATGATTTTCCTTGATGGACCAACACAAAGCAGCGTGTAGCTGAAGTGGAGAGAGAACGGTGGATCCAAGTACAGCTGCAGGATCCATAGGTTGAAACGTTTGCCTGTCCTTTTTGCAAATTAGCTCCAACTCAGTCAGATTGGATGAGGAGCTTCTGGTAACATCAAGTCTTATCGCAGATTCCCATTTGGATTTAAGTCTGGACTTTGACTGATATATAATAGTGATTTTTTTGTATCTGGTAAACAATAATATAAGTGTGAAATATTTGAATCAAACAATTAATAAACAATGTAGTTTTTATAGAAAAGAGATGTGTAAACCATTGTTGATCTAAAACGCAAAAGTTGTTTTAAATGCCTGCATCCAATTTGCAAATTGGTGAGTACATTTATTTAATTCTGACCAATAAGAACAAGAGTTGGTTCACACTCTTTCTTTGACTAATTAGGTGACGTCTAAAGGGAAGTGGTTGCCCTGAATTTCATTTAGGAGTATCAGATTACTGATAATCTGATACTCCAATAGTTTTTTCAGATGTAAGATGTATCATTTTTCTTCCACTTCATAACTCTGCACTACCTTGTGTTGGTCCATCACATAAAACCTTCATGCATAGAGCAGTCTCGATCTCGATCTTGATCTTGGTCTGCTGACCTTCACACGTTGCGTCAAGCGCCACCTTGGTGACACATTACGGTGCAAATAAAGAATTCAGCTAATGTAAGTGCACACAATTTATGTTGTGTCTGAGAAGCTTCTACTACAGATGTGACTAAATAAGAAATATTCAAGTGGTTTGAATACTTTTGCAAGGTACCAAAGGTCCAACAGCTGCCTTGTTATCCAGTGGGGGGAGCAGTGGAAATGTTTCTGTAAATTGGACTCGGTGTGTTATTGATTAGCTGCGTTGGCTTTCCTCCAGTCAGATTCACTTGCACATACAATCGATATCAGAGCAGAAAATTATATTACTCCATTCTCCCATTCAGTAATGATGTTACGGAGCCTCTTAGCACTGACAGATGTATATCTGTTAAACTAGAAAATTCCACAGAAATTTTAAGGGGCCTGCCAAAGTGTGCCCGTCGGTTTGGAC